GTTCCTGTTGTAGAGCAACTTGTACTCTGTTGCAACACAGCTGATAAGCTACAATAGCTTCCTCCATTTAGGAGCTCAGGGGAGGATGAGAGGCGGGAAATGCAGAGGACCACTGCAGGACAGGGAGGATAGACGGCTCTGCAGTGACAGGAAAGTTAGTGGCTGAACTGTTTCTGTGACAGAGGGCATCATTCTTTGTCCTCCTCATCTCCAGCCTCTCTTCATCTTCCTGTTCCTGTCTCAGAAGAGACTTCTTTTTCAATATGCCAAACACGCCTCCCGGTCATACACCCACCCACCTCCCAACCCCAATGTTTGCTTTCATATTTAGTCTGCTAGTCTTCCTCGTCCTCAGCGTTGTAATCTCAGCCCGACGGCCGACTCTGATGTGTCACAGTCGGTCGGTCGTCGAGAGGACCTGTTGCCATGGCGACGCGGCGACGCACAAGGCTCCGAGGCGGGCGTCATCTCGACTCGAACAGTCATACATCTCATCACACGAGCCCACACGGGCAAATATATATACGCACACACATTCTCCCTCGCCTCCCTCTGCCGCTCTGCCACCCCTGGAGTGATGAAGATGATGGTGATGGTGATGGTGATGGTGATGATGATGAACCCACCCTGCTTTGCTTTCCCTCCACACAGTGACTCACGCACACAGCTCTTAACCCACATCGGTGCTGGCGTGCACTGCGCCTCAGTACAGTAGGTCACAGGTGCAACAGTTCCTGAGTCACATGACTCGCCAAACATGATGCAGGCAGGCAGCCGTGGAGTAGGGTGGTGTGTGTGTGTGTGTGTGTGTGTGTGTGTGTGTGTGTGTGTGTGTGTGTGTGTGTGTGCAGTTATTTGGGATGACGATGACAACACATCATGTGGAGCAGACTGTGGACCAAATCTGGGCCAGTGGGATTAGCGGCTCGTCGGATAAATTGCTGGATGAGGGGGCGATGGGGGGGATGGGCGTGTGTGTGTGTGTGTGTGTGTGTGTGTGTGTGTAGAGGTGAGCGTAGGTTAATCCATCCGTACCGACAGGAGTCACATATTGTAAATAGGGCCAGATATATCAGAGATGCCCCTGCACTTATTTCTGTAGGTGGTTCCAGTCGAAGCTGGGCGTTCGGTTTGCACATGATTCGCTAATGACGTTTCACATTAAAGCAAAACTTTGCAATCGCATGCAAATTCAGCGCACACAGAGGCGCAGGTGTCTCAGGCAGCACAGATGATGACGGAGCAGGATGGGATTCGTTTGCATGAATTTGCATTAAAGTTGCTCGTGAGCCTGCTTTCGGTTTCAACTGATGAGAGATAGAAAGAGGGGAAGAAACTCTGCATATGTTTGGAGCGTTCCTTTTTTTTATGCTGATATATTTAGATCGAGTGTTCGAGATGGACTAACCTTTGTCAGCATGCGACGGTTCTGTTCAGGGATGAAAGGGAAGCGTCTCCTTGGCGACTGACGGCTGATGGGGTGGGAGGGGTGGGTGCGAAACTGGGTCATCGTCACCACCACAGATTAAGGGGCCCGGATCTGAACACACTCATGTTCACCCAAAGAACACACAGACACACACACTTACACAAACACACTATCTCTGCAGAGAATTTAGAGGAACTTCTCCAGGTGAGAGACGAGACACTGCTAGGTGCTTCAACCTGGCCGTCCGCCAAAGGTTTCCCTTTTAGAGGAAGCCAGAAGCCCATTAAAATATCAAGGATTAGACTAAAGCGACAGCGGGAGGCTCATAAAGCCGTGGCTGAGACACTGTGTGTGTGTGTACCAGCGTCCTTTGTATGTTTACGTTTGCCCAAGTGATGCCCTGTTTCTAGCTTTACTGATAACACACTTCTGTTTGACTGATGGAGGGCAGATGAAGCAACACCGAGACGGATAGAAACATAAGGTCAGAACAGGAAGTTGGGGACGGCTGAGATAAGACGGACTATATACGGAATATGTGACAAAATAGACACTTCTCACGTTATGAAAGCGTTCAGATTTTATATTTCAAGGCTACATATTTTTCACGGCAAGCTAAAGTTGAGATGCACCTTTTGCAGTCAAACTGTTGACCATTAGATGGAGACAGATGCAAACATCTCTCAGCAAACAGCAGTGATTTCCCCGAGGCGTGGGACAACGGATCCTGTCGGTCACGGTGAGGTCAACCCTCTGGGATCAGAGCTCAAAGCCTGACAGTCAGTGTCAGCGCCCCGACAACAGAGATGCGTAGTGGCGTCGATAAGCATGTCAGGAACACGGTTAAAAGGTCAATGCGATGCCTGTAGTGAGGCCGAGCATCCCACAGGAGACAAAGATTGCTGCTTTTCACTGGAGACAACTTTCTTACATATTTACACCTCATTGTATCTGTCCACAAGATGATTCCTCCCGCTCAGGCTTTCATGCAGCAATGCAGGAAGCTTTAAACACTTTGGCTGCATGTCAAGGACTCTCGCCTTCAGCTGAGCCGGTCATAGGCGTAGAAATCATTTCACTGATGCTATTTCAGTCAGTTGCTCTTCATGGCTCATAAAATTTGTTTCTTGGCTTCTGCCTCTTGGCGGGTTCCAGCTGTTACGAAGGACACACGAGAAGTTTTTCTAGGAACTGATAGCATCGCTGAAAGATCTGAATTAGTGCAGCCTATCGGCGGTGTTAGACGTCTCCCTGGCAACAGCAGAGCCGGTATCACTCTGAGATCAGAGCGCTCTGGTGCTGAGGATGTGACCGTCACGAGAGCTTGTTGTGGAACCCTTTGAAACTGAAGTTTGAAATCAATTTGAAGCCGCTCTTTACAGAGGTGTCCAGAGACTGCTGTGTCCTCCTTTTCTCCTTCTTCTTCTTCTTCTCGCTGCGATGTCCTCATTACTCAGGGACGACTCTCTTCTCTGTCTCGCTGTAATGAGGGAAGACAGGCATTCGGCAGGCACTCCTGGCTTTCCCCTTTAATGGACGCCAAGAGTTGTGGAGGCAGATAAGAACGTCTGTGCAGCTAAGTAGGAGCTCCTTCTGAAGCCATTCAGCAAAGCAAATATTCAAGGTTTCCAGAAGATGTTTCCAAATGACTCCGCCATGAGGTGGACATTTGTGGTTTTGAGTGAAATGCCTCAACAATTACTTAATTACAATTAAGAAAAGTGCAGATTTCAAGTGTTTTGTGCTTTCGTAATGCTGCATGAACATAATTTCATGGCAGTCTGCATGCAGAGGACCACACACAGATAATATCAGTGTGTGTGTGTGTGTGTGTGTGTGTGTGACAGGGTGATGGTGAAGAGTGCCAGGGAGCACTATATCTCATCTTCTGGACAAGTCCTTAATCTGTGTGACCCAGCAAGGGATTATGGGGGTTCTGGGAGAAAAATGGGACTTGAAACTAACCCTCAAAGCCTAATAACTGACAGTTTGTTTATTTGTGTGCGATTCATTCTTACTACAAAGGAGGTTTTTTTTCTTTCTGCAGATTACTTCAACTGTAAGAGAGGCATTATGCCATTTCCCCCTGCCTTATTCTTCTTTCCCCATGAGGAAAGAGTCTCGTTGACTACGTTTACATGCACAAAATATTACATGTTGCAAAACTGTGTTCTTAAAGCTACTCTTAACTTCTTAATAGTGTGGCTCTGTTCCCAAAGTTTGCTGTCTTTACAGGAAGTAATAATTCTTAAACTGCCTTCGTTTGTCTTGTCTGCGAGTCGGCTTTTGGGTTCCCTGGCTCCCCACAACTGCACTCAACTTGTTCTCAGTAGTGTTTCATAGAGACACGTTTTGATTCATTTATGCAGCTGATCAGGTTTCCCCGTGGCTCAATATCAGAGAGCCATTCAAATGTCAGAAAGTCAGCGTGATTGGGTGGTTTATTTCAGCCCTCGGGGTAAATGGATCCACTAAATGTCATATGTGTCCAGCAAATTGTTCTGGTGTCTTCGGATGAAAATATTGGGGGCCGGTGGGGTCACCTTTGTCTGCAGTGTGTGTGTGTGTGTGTGTGTGTGTGTGAGAGGGTGTGTGTGTGAGGGTGGGGGTTCCTGGACTGTGGGCTGAGCTTTGTCTGAAACAGGGCCACGTGGGCCTGAATTAAAACCTTGTTTAAGAGGATTCAGGACAGATGGCGTCCCATTGTTTCAGTTATTAGAAAATGGGATGAATGATGGAAACAGCCCCCCCCTTCTCTAGATAAACACACTCCACCCACTTTGAACCGGGGACTCACCTTGCTTGATTTCTCATTGGATTGTGGCATCTTGCACTCAGCCAATCAGCAGCCCCGGGGGCAAACAAAGGCTGCCCTCACAAATAAAGCCAGACACATGGCTGTTTAGCATATAAGAAGCTCCAATTGGTCAAAGGTGAGCCAATCAAAGTCAAATCAATTTAAATGAAGCTGTTTTTTCTTCAAGTGGAAACCAAGGAAAGTGTATTGAAGTAGCAATAGGGCTGCAATAACAATGAACAGGAACATATGCTAAAGCAGGAAACAGAGCATCCTCCTCTGAGTGTGTTTATTCTAATGGGAATAATATCTCGACAGCATCGGAAATGAGTGTTGCAACTGGCTTGTTTTGAGTTAAACCTCATCACTGCATTTGTCCTCTGTGCTGTTTGGATGTTGAAAAAATACATCTAAATGTGTTGATGGGTGCTGCACAGGCCATTTCGACGTGAGACAGAAAATAAAAACAATGACTCCTCTCCCTTTTATCTTCTCTTGAAGCACACTCGATCATCTTTTTCTTTCCCTCTCTTCGCCTCCTTCCCTTCCCTCCCTGACTCTCTCAACTCACCAGATGGAGAGGGGGCGGTGAGTGCGTGGTTTCATGTGTGTGGTTGCATGTGTGTGTGTGTGTGTTTGTGTGTTAATTCATGCATGCATGGTTACCCATGAGTTTGCATATTTACATATCCTGTACATGTTGTCCTTATATCCTCCTCTGCTTCACCGAAGCAAAGAATATGAATCAAGAGCAGTCATTTTCACCTGCAGACCAGCAGACGGAGGAAGCCGTTGATGACACAAAATGACAGGAATAAAGTGAATGAGCGTCATTTTCTCCACAGTCAGGAGAGGGTTTAGGGGCCAAAACGCGTTATCTGGCATCATTTGGGGCTGCTAATCCGCATGTGCGAAATAAATCCAATCTGACAGCGCCTTTGCATCATGAGACTGGATTGTTAATATACATAGAGAGACAGAGCTAAGCTTCAACAGGGAGGAGGAGAGAGAGGGAGGGTGTGTACGAGGCGAGAGAGAGAGAGAGAGAGAGAGAGAGAGCATCGAGTCACCAGGATAGGCTCCACCATCCACAGACTGTGAGGTACAAGTGCCACAAGGAGACTATATTCCTCTAAAATAATGGATGGGACAAAGCCGGCCATGGAGTCCACTGCGGAGGAGACTCAGGACGAGGGACAAGAGAGCAAAGGTACGCTCAATCATCCGCTGACATTTGCGCGTTTTCCTGTGTTTTCTTTGGAGACATTTGCGTCTGCGCCAGCCTGAGCGGTTTAACCTACTTGCAATGGCTTCTCGCTTGTGCGCGAGACAATAGCGACGCTCCCCCCCACCCCACCCCTACTCCCCCCTCTGGCCTCTCACCTATTCCAGGGCGATTTGGAGAGCATTAAACGGTCTCTCTGCTGCTGATGGCCGAGATTATTCCCACAATCCCGAGCGCAATTTTGACGTTTTCTGTGTTATTTGGCGCCCTCAAAGGGGATTTGGAGGCTGGTGGGGGAGAAGAACAGGGGTGGGCGGGTTAATGCGCTCTGGTTTTATGGTGCATACGTTAAAGCCAATTTGCTTTTACATTGCTGCACCATCATGTGCATATGTCCGCCTAATGAGCGGCTGATAACGCGGAGGTGGAGGCGCTGCGCTCTGTGCATGGCCGCGTCGTTTTATCGTCAGGTGTGGAGCAACGGCAGCTCCACGATCCTCCCGCCGCAGCCACGTCGATCAATATCAGCGACATCCTCAAATACAGAGGCTCGGTGTCCGATCTGTCAGCGGCGCGATTGGTCGACGGCGCTGCAACATATGAAGCCTGTGGTTTTGGACGCGCGCAGTAGTGGCGGTGCAGGAGGCGGCAAAAGAAACGAGCAGCGGTGCTCTTGGCGCACCATTGATGGACGAGTCCATCAGTTACAAACCCACCGCTCAGACATGGTAATGGAGCCCCTGCGGTGCACACATTCACTGCTCTGACTCTGCAACAAGCTCCTTACTAGCATTTTTAGTGGCACAAAAATGAAAAACAAATGTTTAAAGTGTCTTTGTCAATGTGCATGCAAAATAAATTAAGGTGTAAATAGTAGTAAATTGTGTTTTTCGTGCACACAAAAGACCAGCCATGAATTTTTTGTCCAACCAAACTGTTGCTGTTGCCGAACAGTGTGGGGTGTCTCTGTGCACCCAGACTCTGGATGTGACTGATTTGTTTTCCTTGTGGTTTGGTAGTAAAATCTCATCCTTCAGTTTGGTGTTTGTGAAGTCACACTGACGACAGCCTGTTTGTCACTGTCATCTTGACGATGAATGCACACATTACCCACAGTTTTGTCTGATGCATAATGCAGAAGATGAATGATGATGTTCACCCAGCTTCTTTTTTTTTCACAGACCAGCGCTGAGTTTCAGTCCGTGTTGCAGCTCATCTGGCATGATGCCTTTTTTCCCTGTTGGCTGATAGAGAGCAGGGTAGTTGATATCAGAGAGCATGGGCCTGGGGGGGCTTTACACACACCCACCTCACAGCAACACCCAGTGTTTCCCCTGCTTTAGTCCCTCTTGTGCGGCAGTTTTTCTCCACTTTCATGTGGGCAGTTTCGTTAAAAGTGAGGGTTTGTGTTTGAAAAGTCACATTTTCTTTACAAAATGGTATAAAATATTCAGATTTTTAGATTCAACGTCACAAAATGTAACTTCTTTGGAAGCAAATATAAAATAAATGTTCATATTTAGGGCACAGATATTCAGATTTTTAGCACTAGGATACAACATTTTATTCTTTTGGAAGCAACTAAGAAATTTGAATATTTATAGGGGCAAATATATTTACATATTGGCTGAAGTATTAAAAAATATTACTATTTTGGGGGCAAAGAATCACATTTTTAGCTCCAGTATTCCAAATGTTACCATTTTTTGCGGCAAATATTCAGATTTTTAGCTCCACCTTTTTTTTCCAACTTAAAGAAACCTAATTTGTAGTTCCTGCAGCACCTCTTGGGCCCTGCCACGGTAATATTGCTGGGTCACAGTCTATGACGTATATGCAGAAGAGTGGGGTGTCCCTCAACAGTGATGTTTTAAAAAGACATTACATCATCCTCTCCGGAGCCACGCTGCTACACACAGGCCAGTGTCCAATGAGAGCTTTTATCATGCAGCTTTAATTGACGGCGTGGGCGAGTCTGTTCAAATTCCCTGAGGATAGTTGAGCAGGAGGGCGGCCATATTTGTTGTTCGTAATTAACCCTTTTGAATTCCTTAATCACCATTATAAGCTGAAGCAGTGAAATTATCACCCAGCTCAACCTCTTCAGCCTGGACAGCTCCAGGTGTGATGTTGTGCAACCGAGCCCCCCCCCCCCCTCCCCTTCTATCCGTGAGTAAGGAATTCAAAAGCGTTCACGACGAACAACAAATATGGCCGCCCTCCTGCTCAACTATC